GGAGGTTTCCACTCTACCTGCATGGACTGCTGTGGAGGTTTCCACTCTACCTGCATGGACTGCTGTGGAGGTTTCCACTCTACCTGCATGGACTGCTGTGGAGGTTTCCACTCTACCTGCATGGACTGCTGTGAGGATTCCCACTTTACCTGCATGGACTGCTGTGAGGATTCCCACTTTACCTGCATGGACTGCTGTGAAGATTCCCACTTTACCTGCATGGACTGCTGTGGAGGTTTCCACTTTGCCTGCATGGACTGCTGTGGAGGTTTCCACTCTATCTGCATGGACTATTATGGAAGTTTCCACTCTACCTGCATGGACTGCTGTGGGGATTCCCACTTTACCTGCATGGACTGCTGTTTTTTTATATCATGCATCTCACATTATCAGGAATAGCAGAACATTTATGTCAGAAAGTCCTGTAACATAACCTTCCCAAAAGGGATCAATTTAAGGTGCTATCTCGGCATAAACACATCACGTCAAACAACTTACAACAAGCTATTAAACTATGTAGCCCTAGGTACTGGTATGGCCAGAGTGAAGGTGAATTGTTTCTACAGGTTATGAAAAAACCCTCTACAGAAGACTTACCATGACTATTAATCCATACTGTTGTTTTCTCCTCCTCTTTTCTTCATCAGAATCTACTTCTGAGTCCTGCTTACGATGCTTCTTTTTATTTTCATCTAACATGTCATGCTTCTTCATGGCAGTGTCATTCCCTCCTGGAGATTTATACTTCAAGTGCCCACTGCTCTTTTCTTTACTTTCTCCTAAAACCTTAGACTTTGAATTTTTTTTTAAAACAGTATCATCTTCACTACTGCTATCACAATATTTTCTCTTGTGCTTCCTTTTCTTCTTCTTCTTCTTATCTTTCTTTCCTACACTTTGCTGCAGCTGTTTTTAAAAAGAAATTTCACACAAGGAAGTGATCATTAGATAATAATATTCAACACGGCTCAGTAGAAGTATAAAACATTACACTAAGAACACTAGTTTATTAAGTGATTTGTTTGCAATTGAAAGTTCACTATAGAATTTGTATATATATCTTTGTAACCTAAAAATTTATAGGTAATTCAGAAAATTTAACTTCAAAGAATTACTTAATTGTGAAAGCACAATGTATCAATATCTTAAAAAAATAATTCAACTGCTAATTTACATGTTTAATATTCTATGATTAATGAGTTGTGTTAAAATGACATAATTTAGCTTTTGAAAGTCAGATATCCATTCAAAACACTTACTAGCTGTTTAAGTTGTTTCATTTTCACTGGATTGTTAATTAATTTCTTCTTTTCCTCAAGTTCTTTTTTCCTATAAAGAGAAACTAGATTAGTATATGTACATTTTTTAAATATTGCTCATCGCTTACAACTTATATAAGTATTAATTTTCATGTCAACTTTTAATATTCAATACAAATCAAGAGCATTAAGTTGATAAACAAACTATGTCATTTTATAGTTTAAATCATAGAAGAAAAAAAAACAGATTTTGATCTTTGTTGATGATGAACCTGTATCTGTTATGGTGTACTTCTGTATTATCACAGATTTACATCAAAACTATAGTAACAGCTAGTTTGATGTAAATCTGTGATAATACAGAAGTACACCATAACAGATACAGGTTCATCATCAACAAAGATCAAAATCTGTTTTTTTTCTTCTATAGTAACAACTAGTTTGATGTAAATCTGTGATAATACAGAAGTACACCATAACAGATAAAGGTTCATTATCAACAAAGATAAAATTCTGTTGTTTTTTCTATTACAGCAGCTAGTTTGATGTAAATCTGTGATAATACAGAAGTACACCATAAAAGATGCAGGTTCATTATCAACAAAGATCAAATTCTGTTGTTTTTTCTATTACAGCAGCTCATTTGATGCAAGACTGTGATAACAATACATTAATCACAAAAACATTATAATAGATACATGTTAGTGTCAATTTTCATCAGCCAAAACTCGTAAATTCTACATGGTAAGTACTAATGAGCAAGAGGTAACACTTAAACACAAAAATAATTATGTATTCAATCTAACATATAATGTAGTAATTTAGAAACACATTTAATAAACTGTTTACTATAAAATAATATGTAGAGATTTAATATATTTGCTTCAGTATCTACATAACATTACCTGATTGTGAAAAGTGGGTCTTCTCGCACTTTGTTGGCGACATCAATTACGCTAGTAGATGGTTCACTGAGCTCTGTACAAACAATGTAAGGAAAGATCACACTTCAGTTACTGACAACCTATTTTATAATGACATTACCACTAATCAAAACACAATGAAACAAAATATTTCTATTATCATTAGAACACTTTGTTGTTGTTGATGAAAATGTTCCATTTTATTCATACAATTAGATTCAATTTGATTAATATACATTAACATCCATCTTTTCTAAATTACAGAAGTCACCATTTCTGACTATGTATGATATGAACACAATAAAAACTGACAAAGTTTAAACAATGACCTGCAACCTGACCTGTCATGGTGGCATCAGGTCAGGTTAAGTAACAATATTTATGGTCAAGATCAAGCTACCTAATCAACAGTTTGTTTTCAGTAAAAAAATTTTATTTCATTACTTAAGATGTACCTAAGGATTCTTCCCACCAACAAATCTTACTATTTTGTTTTCTCCCACTAAAAAATCTTACTACTTTGTTTTTTCCCACTAACAAATCTTACTTATTTGTTTTTCCCACTAACAAATCTTACTTA